CACATATTAATATGACCACTCATAAGAAATATCATAGAATCTATATTCTCTTATACTATTGGAGATTGTCAAAGAAATGAGCTATATAAATTAACTCAATTCCTCCTAAGAGCTTTAACTAAATTGGTAAGTATGCAACTCAACTCATAGTCTTAGTCTCTAATACTAACCCTTAGCTTAATCAAAAAGGGCAATATTCATCATCATTTTCACAATAGTATGATTTCGCCTAAATTGCATCTATTTGTAAAATAAATAAGAGGCAGTAACTGCTAATCCTTATACAAAATTTGTAGGCTTGGGACTCTAATTGTACGTATATAGCTTCCTAAAGACAACTCCTAAATTACTCTCATTTTACAATATTGTGATATCATAATATTTATCTTATCTTTTGGGAGGGTTTACCTATCTTATTGTTTAGCTCATTTTGTTATCTTCTTATTATATTTTTAATATATTCATCTAGTCTTTCAATTGTATTAACTTATCTTAAAAATGAAGAGTGCCTTTAATAAATTTTAATCTTTTAGTTCTAAATAAAGATTTATTAAACTCTTTTAATTTTTTAAAAGTAATGTAATTTTAATACTAATTATCTTATTGAGAAATTACTGTGAGGAGATTATAAGAATGATTGGTCAAAATGGTTAAGCAGCTAATCAGAGATGACTGCTCCTTTATTATTTATTAAATGACATAATACAATCAAATTGCAAATTTTTAAGTTAGCAAATTTCATTTCCAGTTTATCGAATTATCTAATGAGGATTGGCAGAGCCACCAAATCTAACTCTATAAGAAACTAAGAGGATCTTGCTTGATGAACTGAGATTGCAATATTTTTACCTTTCCTTATTACTTATTATTTCCAAAAAGAACTTTTATAATTATAAAGTGATTGAATAGCACTCTACTTAAATTAACCACATAAAGTTGAGTAATTTATAATAATTATTAGAAAAATTTGACTGTTTTTTTGTTACTAGTTTACTAATTTTAAGTAAATTAACCTAACGCAATTAATGTCAATAACTTTATGTAAACTTAAAAATGGATGATATCTAAGATTTTAAATTTTGCTCTAATTTTGCAAAAATACAATTTTTGTCGGAACTTTGAAAAGAGATGTAATTGAAAATTTAAAATACTTGACTAAAACTCTGTTAGAATTGATACTGTGCTGCTCTGTTTAAAAGTAACATTTAATCTTGCGTCTGACACCAAAAGGAAGGCTTCTAGAATATTAAAGTATTTAATACTGCATCTAGACGAAGCATTAGCCTATTTTATATATTAAGGCTTCACTTAAACTAATATTAAAAAGTCGATACGAACTTTAATGTAGTTCAATTATTTGAAAATAATTTATAGCCAATTATAATATTATAGTTAACCCTTAAGAAACCGAACTTAAAATTCCGATCATAAACCTTAATAAATGAGATTATTCACATCACCCACCCAGACTATAAATAATAACTCAAAAGATTAAAAAGACGCTTAATCTATTATAATTCCCCCGTAATTTTCAGTAAGTAGCAAAGGTATGACTTTTCTACATATGCTTCAGGAAGATGACTAGAATTATTTAAATATTATTCTGTTTTTTTAAAGTCAAATTCCATAAAAGTTACTCATTGCTTTGACTGTAAAAAACAGGTCATTATTTTTTTTTCCTCCATATTTGAGTAGAGTAAACAAAATACTTAGTTGGTGTGAACTATCCATATAAGTTATGATTAAAATTCCAAATTTCTTTGCCGCATAAATCCTTCACATGCTTATAACTTGTTCAAATAAGAACTGTTTTTTAATCAGTCTATTTTTTTAATATGCATCCCTCTAATATCTTTCTAACTTTTCTAAATAAGTATTTGATGATTCCACTATATTAATATTCTTAATAATAATTTCAATATTCTTTATTTGCATTTCAATTGTATTGTAAATTTATCTGGTTAAATTTTCATATACAACTGAATAAATTTTGTTTTCTCAATTCGCTTAGTTGAGAGGTCTGGTTTAGCTTGTATTTATCTAATTTCTTCTTCACCATTTATTCATATAAATTGAGAAGAATTGCATATTGCATATCCACACCATGGTCATAAAGGCAATAAGCATACAGTTTTCTTTAACATTAACTCTTGAACTGAGCCATATATATCATTAAAAATATGATTTGAATATGATAAGCGCAATTCATTCTCTAAAATAAAATAGTATGGAATTTCTATTGCTTTATTAT